TTATCCCACTGAGTTTATTAGTACGCGATAGGATATATGATTAGACATTAGCTGCGTTCAGCAGAGAAAGCAGCTAATGTCTTTCCAATTATTGTAAAATTCTTCTATGTGACAGGCTTGTGCATTTAAATTCATAAGGAATCAAAAGCAAGAATCAATTGTATTGAAGAATTTTACAAAAATCGATAATCTACTGTCTCTGAACGCAGCCATTAAAGTATGTTGTATATTTGTAGTGTTATTACATATTTATAAAGTAATGTAGGTAGGAATACGGGTGGAGATGATATCCGCGAATAGGCACAAATAAATAAAAATACTGATAGGTAGGACAATAAGTATGAACGGTAGATAGGAACTATATAGGTAGGATATAGATAAGTATACAGGTAGGACTAAACATGTCATATGTACACACTTGATAATTGGAAATGAGAGATTAAAATGAATAAAATTTTAAATTAATTTTAAGTTTTATTTAATTATCAGAATCCCGTTCCAATTATCGAATATGAAAATAAACTAAATTATATATCTTGAAACTAACGTGGTTCTAATATTAACACATATAAAAAATAAGAGCATAAAAAACATTAATGTAATAATAATTAAATATCACAAACTATAACTTGTGCTGTGGTTTTTTATGCTCTTATTTTTTATATGTGTTAAACTAAATTAATTTCAAATTTTATTAAATTTTCAGCTACTCTGAAATTAAACTTTTTTGTAAAATTCTATACACGTACAAATTATGCAATGTATATTGTAATTAACTTTAAATTTTGTAAATAAATGTATGTATAATAATATTAGGTATGTAATATAAAATTTATGTAAACTATTCAGATGAATGCTATAATCATACTTACTTTTTGTAATTTGCACAACAATTCCCAGGAAAAAATGTTGTATATATGGTCATATTTTATATATAATGATATATAATTATATATAAAATATGTCAATTTTTTATATAATTATGTATAATTTTATATAATTATATATAATTATATATAAAACATTTTTTCCTGAATTACTAATTAATTATACATACATTTATACTGGAATATACACCGTATTGAATATCTATTCAATATAAATAGCATTTATCTTGTTGTAGTAAACCAAATTGTTGCGTAATTGATGTAAATTATACGAACTCAACGAAACATATAATAACAAAAATTGTTTATTTATTGATTTAATAAATTTAATAAATATTTAAATTTAAAACTTTTTTTTAATTTAGATTTTATTTTGCATATCAAAAAATCATTAATAATTTTAAGTAATTTCTTATTAAAAATTTGACGTTTAGAATTATCATCATTTTTTCTTCGTATTTAGTACAAATTTATTAAATAAGTCATAAAGATTGAAGCTTTGACTGAGGCAATGGTTAAATATTAACTCTTACTTGCTTTTCGACATTTACATTTTTAACATTATAAAATTACAAATATCTTTTAGTGAATAATTTATTATATGCGAAGGCCTCATATCGCTGTCTCTCGCATCAGATGGATGCCAGTGATTATGTAGTTTGTATCAATGGAAAGTCGAAGTTATTTTCATGATGGAGAATTATTTCTCGTCGCTTTTCGTGAAGTTCATTCGCGAAGTTTGGTATCTCTTAGGAGATTCTTATGCGGAATTGGAATTAATCCTAAGCTTTCTCGTCTGCAGTTACTGGTAACAATTTTGTTAATGAGTCAATGATAATTGCTATATATTTTAAAGTCAAGTTGTAACATTAATTAAATATTTTAGCATATAATTTTCGTTTTCTTTGTTTTATTAAATGTTCTCCCACTAGTAACAATAATATTAGCAATAGTACTATGTCTTAATAACAATAAGAATTTATAGTATTATATGAATGATATGAATATATAATTATTATTTGTTTAAATTCAAATTATTAAGTAAACAAATTTAAATTTTATACAAATAATTTGGTTATAATTTTTTGATGATTACTCTAACAAAAATATGATTACGGATGTGTATATTTAATTTTCTAACTTTTATTAGAATCATTTTTAGGTATTGGACATCCCGCCATTGCAGAATATTTTTAATTATTAATTTATATGTATATACACTTTTCTATGATAAAATGCATGCACTTTTCTATGATAAAATACATACAGATATTAAAATTATATTTAACGAATATTGATTTTTGTTGATATTTACATAACTTTTTTCAAAATTTTTTATAGTTAACAATGTTATCGTGATTACATGAGTTGAATTTTAAATGTGTGGTTATATAAAATTCAAGATAAGTCGAATGGGTACTCTTATATTAGCAGGATATTAATAATTGTAATTTTTGAAAAATAAAGAATTGTTAAATTTTATATAATAAATTTTTCAGTATAAGTGTTCTTTAAAATCCCGTTATTATCGGATTCGGCTCATCTCGAACAGTTGGTACCCGAGAAACTTTTGTACCCATACATATAAAAGATTACAATACGCATGTATTTTATTATTATTAAATATATATTCCTTCGTAATCACTATTGCATAAGGAAGTCATTCTATCCGTTTATTTTTAATAAGAAATGATTTTCAGTCACATGTGGCAGAACATATTTTTTCGCGAATTTTAATTATATTTTATTATAGTAAAGATGTGATAAAAATGGTAATTGTAATTGACATGCTACCAAAATTATTACTATTGCTAAGAGAATAGTCTGAAAGATTCGATTCACACCACAGTTCTGTACAAGATCACTGGTATTTGACAGATTGCTTAACTTTTCTTTGCAAATGGATTTATAAAATTTACGTAGAATCAGAATACATTAAGTTCGCTTTCCTGTGAGGATTGTTCTTCTTTGTATCCGATACTAATTAACATACTACGAGGCGGAGAGATTTTGATATGATGAAATTATTGAGATAGTTATCTTGAACACGATGAAAGTGCTGTATAAATATATTAATGACTTTTTATCGCGATATTAGTAAGTTTTAGATTCGTAAATTAATAGTAAATATTTAATAGTAAATACGATCTAATTGTTGTTAGTATTTCTTGCGTTTATCAATATTTCATTAAACATTGGTTTAGAAAAATTTGTGTTATCGTATGTATTTTCAATGTTTTCGTATAATCCCGCATTACAAAAAATTTGTTAATTATGCTCCTATGTTATCATTTTTATTATATTTTGAACAGTATTGATAATTGCATATTGTATTGTGTAAATAATTATTATAATTGTAATATCAAATTGTATAAAGAATAATACAATAAAGAATAATATTTAAAAAGTTATTGCAATTTTATTAGCGAAACACAATAAAAAAATTAGACATAAAAATAAAAAATTAATTAAAGATATACTTATCTGTAAAAACGGGCTACTAAATTTATTAGCTTGTTTTATGGGTGAGTATACTTACAAAGAAAAGAGGACCGCCGATAAAATTGGCGGGGGTGGTGGAGGGCCTCTATAGTTCATTTTTGCTAAATTATATCTTACAGTGACAATATATGTTTAGAAAAGATTGAATTTATTAAAAGTCTCTATAATTGTTAGTAATTATAGAGACTTATATTAGTAATTATATTTGGTAAATACGGGCTGAAAATTTATAGATACATAACTTCGTATTAATTATAATTTTATAAGATATTATAAGATAAATATATATATAAGACAAAATTCACTAAATTAACTTGCTTGAATTTTCAGTTTCGTTTATTAAAATTCAACAATTCAACAATTTTTATTTACACATAACTTAACTTTTATCTTTTTAACTTAACACTACCCAATCCTGCATTTGTAGTTTATTTCACTCAATATTATGTATAATTGTATACATCATTAGAACACAAAAAATTTTACATGCTAAAAAAAGGGAGAATGTTTACGAAAAAATTTTTGAGGATCCCAAGAATGAAATAAAATGTTTTATTGTATGTGTACAGGGTGTCCCATTTCAATTCATTTTTTTGTGTCGAAATATATATATGTATCTCGTAAAATATAAAAGATACGGGAAAATATTTCCAATAAAAGTTTTATTATTTCGAGGGGAACATAAGATGATATCATTTGGTTTGACTTTGGGTGATATTGTTAAAGTCACTTTGAATTTTTTAAATGGAACCCCCCGCTTTTGAGTACATATTCTTGTAGCTTACTTTGAGAGCTTTTCAAAACACTATAATAAAGTATTTTTTTGTTAAGTATTTTTCGAATTATAAGGCTTGCTACAGCTAAGCTACTTGAAAGTTACAATATGTAATCGCATTACTCAAAATGACAGAGAAAGATTGCAGAATGATCCAGCCAGTGAAAGCAAGATCGATGGTTCATCTAGCCAATGAAGGTATGACTTTCAAATATTGAATTTGCGCTGTTTAGAAACATAAATATTGTCACTGGCCGGAGTTGTTCCATGGACAAAAAAGCCTCGCTCTATCTTATTATAGAAAATGTACTTCTTAACTGTTTATTATAACGAACTTAATAATTAGGAAGAACTATTATTTTTTTTAGTAAGGATTTTATAATACTTTACTATTAATAATTCTGACAACTTACATTGTCGCCTGAGTCAATCACAAACTTTCAAACCTTATAACTCGAAAAATATTTAAAGAAAAAGTAATTTATTATAGTGTTTTAAAAAGCTCTCAAGGTAAGCTACAAGAATATGTACTAAAAATGAGGGATTCCATTTAAAAAGTGACCTTGCACTGACCTTAACAACGCCACCCAAGGTCAAACCAATGGTACTATCTTATGTCCCTCTCAAAGTAATAAAATTTGTATTGAAAACATTTTCTTGTATCTTTATATTTTACGAGATATTTCGATGCGAAAATTGAAATACGACACTCTATATATATATAGATATATATATATAAGAATTTGGTCTCTTTGTGTATATGTGGGTGTGTGTGTATGTGTACACAAAAAACACCAAGAGATTCGAGTAAAATCTTCGGTACTGTAATTTTATCATTATGAAAAAAATTAATAGTCCTTTAAATAATTCGCAAAGCACCATCCAATCTAATTGTCTCTCCATTTAGTATTGGATTTTCAACGATCTGCTGTACTAACATAGCAAACTCATCAGGATTTCCCCATCTTTGAGGAAACGCTATATTTTCTGTTATAATGGTTCGTAACTTTTCTGGCATCTTTCTTAATAAGGGAGTATCAAAAAGTCCTGGAGCAATTGTTACGACACGAATTCCATCCTTGGAAAGATCACGAGCGATAGGTAAAGTCATCCCTATGTAATAATAAAAAAAGTATAAATTATAGAAAAGAAAATGAGGAAAAAAAGAACAAAGTTTATTGTCAAAATAAAATAGAGGAAAGTAATAATAAGCATAAAGAGAATAAGAGATTATATACAAGGTATTCGGAATTATAAATAAAAACTTAGTTGATCAAAACTAAAAACAATCTAAAAAGTCTTAGGGCTGTGTATTCATAGTCCGTTCTTATTTCAAGACTGTCTTAAGTAATGTCTTAAAATGCTATTACGCAATCCTTCGATTGGCTTGTGACATCTTAAGATTGTACTCAAAACAGTCTCAAATATAAGAATCAACTATGAATTAGTTCGTTCATAAGTCTGTTCTTATTTTAAGACCATCTTAAGTAATATCTTAAGATGCTAATATGGTCCTCTGATTGATTCATGATATTTTAAGATTGTACTTAAGACAGTTTTAAATATAAGATTCAACTATTGCTCTTAATGAGGATCTGTAAGTTAATCATTTTTTAAATATTCACACACACACAGCTTCTTATTTTACAAGTTGCATTGTACAATTATATGTATTGGAATATTATGTGGAATAACTGATAACTAATTCTGAAACACTCTTTATAGTATTTAAATAATAAATTATGAAAGAATAAAATAAAAAAATATATACCTACGACTGCTCCTTTCGAAGCAGAATAAGCAGCTTTCCCTGTTGTACCATCAAAAGCGGCGATACTTGCATTATTAACAATTACACCTCTTTGACCATTTTGATTAGGAGAATTTTCAATCATTAAACCGACAGAGAGGCGAATAACGTTGAAAGTACCAGTGGTATTAACTTCGATAATTCTAGCGAAGTCCTTCAATTTGTGAGGAAGTTTTTCATTACTATTATATGTCTTAGAGATTACGCCAATACCAGCGGAGTTGACGAGAACATCAAGCTTACCAAATTTTTGTTTCGTAAAATCAAGAGCAGCTTGAACATCAGATTCCGAAGTTACCTTGAAGAAAATTAATAAGATCAAGAGACGCGGTAGTGTATTTTAATATTTAACAGAGAGATAAGAATATATGATATATAAAAAGAACAAATAATAATTACAATTTTTTAATTTTGGATAATTATAATTTGGACATAATTTAATGTTTAAATCAAGAAACATGATAGTATCCCGTGCCAATATATGCGTCAATATTGGGCGCAAGTATAACTTTACTTAAACTATCAAGTTGATTAAAAACATTATGTTCATATCTAAAAAACAATTAGGCGGACGAAATTTTTAATAGAGTCAATCGATAGTTTGGGGTTCCATTATGTATAGATATTACACTGCTAGAGATCAAAATTTTCTTTCTAATAAATAATCTAATAAAGAACGTTTAAAGATCGTAAAATGTATTCTGTTCAATAAATTAAGATTATATTTGACAAGAGATTGCACAACTATAAATTATAATAATTATATTTAAACATTATACATACATCCATAGGTACAAACACTGCGTTGTCTTCTCCTAATTCGTCAGCTACAGTTTTACCTTTTGAAACAGGCAAATCACCAATAATTACCTTAGCACCTTGCTTGACAAACCTTTCCACAGTGCCACGTCCTAACCCAGAAGCACCACCAGTCACCAAAGCTACGGTGCCCTGAAATAAATAAAAAGAAATATTTATCAATTTTTATTATAAATAAATCTTATCAGTTTTAAGATAAGAAGAAATTTACAATAAGAAGAAATAAGAAAAATGATCTCCAATGGCCTTAATCTTGACAAATGTTATCTAAGTCATGTTCCTAAATAACATAGCAAACGAGAATGGATTAAAATAAATTGAAATTTTTTTCTATCCGAATGGGTATTTTAAAAATAGCGAATACTTTTTTTTGGATTTAATTGAATTCAATTGGATTTAATTAGATTCAATTGGATTGAAAAACTGTATTTCCTATTCAAAATTTTGATCTAAAAAAAATTTTGATCTAAAAATAATATTAGCTTTTTCTGTGCACACAAATATAATTGTGAATACTATTCAAAATTTTGAATAGGAAATGCAGTTTTTCAATCCAATTGCATCTAATTGAATCCAATTAAATTCAAAAAAAGTATTCACTATTTATATATATATATATATATAAATATATAAATATATATATATATATATAAAATACGCATTCGGATAGAAAAAAATTTTAATCCATTTTAATCCATTCTCGTTTGCTGGGAGGCCTCTCGAAACCTCTTCGGAGGCAACTTTAAACTAATCTTTGCTACAATGACATAAATAAAAAAGTAATTTTTTATATTACTTGTAAAAAAGAACGGAAATCTAAAGAAAAAAATGAAAAAGGATATTTTAACAATGCATGGCATTTATACAAACAAATTTTACTTTTCATCTTAGGAAAAAAGTTACATGATCGCTATCTAGGGTAACACAATAAAAATACAGCAGTCCATCAGAGATATAAAACAACTTTTTTAAATTGCTATAACAAAAATAAAAGTACGAAAATGTGTTTTTGAATAATGATCGTACCTTCAACATTTCTGAGCTTCAATTATTCTTCTAAAACAAATAAACGCCGATAAATAGCTCTTATCATCTAATCACGAAGATCACATTGGCATGAACTCGTTATTTGGAACGACTTCCGATACGTGCTGTATTTTATACTTTAACTGATGCAAATAAATTCTAACGATGATTCAGGACAAAATTATCTCTGTGAACTTCGGAATATGATAATTTTTCACAATAGTTTGCATGAAAAAAATAATTTTTTTTTTATATGGAAATATGTATTATTATAAATTTATTATATATTTTATAATACTATTTGTAATTTTTAACAATACCCTACTGCAATTTCCCCTATGGATTTGTCTAACCATGAGTACCCGTAGTAAATTTGATTGGTCCCCATGGGAGGAGGCTCTTATCTTGCTGTAAACTCCCATGGATTATTTCATGGATTTCTATAGAGGACTATAAGATTCTGGCTGAGTTCCAAAATTTACTGCCAGTACTGAAAATCTATAGTTTTTGTTATGTGCACTACAGATTTTCAATACTGATAGTAAATTTTGGAACACAGCTCTGTAGGAGCTTGTATAGCGTAAACACTTAATGACAACAGAGAAAAATATCATGGCATTCCTCGTTTCGAATCCAGGCCTGGTCTTTCCTCCGAGTAAATATCCGTCCTGCCATTGAGCAACACAGCCCTGACGTTGATATAGCTTCTCTGTTGTGCATATTTCCTCTAAATTCCTTACAATAGGATTTACATAGCATGTATATATATATAGGGTCATCTAAAAAGTATCCGCGGTTTTTTGTCACTAGATGTGTGTTGATGGTCATATATCTAGTGACAAAGTACCGTGGATACTTTTTAGATGACCCAATATATATATATAGGATAACATAGGAAATTTTTCTACAAGGAATCTATGACAATTCATGAAATATAATTGGATTCAATTGGATTCAATGAGATTCAATTGGATGCAATTGGATTGAAAAACTACATTTCCTATTTAAAATTTTGAATTGAACAGTATTCACAATGTCTGTGTTTTGTATAGAAAAAGCTAATGTTATTTTTAGATTGAAAGACATAAAAATATGCTCCATGTAATTCCTATAAATGAATAAAAATACATTCAGGATTGAAAAGCATTCATTTTAACATTCGTGAATCAATATTTCTGAAAATCTAAATCCATTTCAATTCATTTCAATCCATTCTCGTTTGCTGGGAACGTACCTCATTTATTAAATATATATTTAAATCTTTTTACAATTGTACTAAATTTTATTTTAAAGTTAATATTGTATTAACAATCATAAATTTTTTTTTTATCCATTTGATACATTCAGTTTTAAAATTGTGGCAATACTGCATTAGTTTTCTCAGTAGAAAACGCTATGACTGCTACGATAAGAATTATGAATATTGAAATAAATAGAATTATGATTATGAATATCGGTAAAAAATTATTTCAGGTTTCGAAGACCAAAGTCCATAGAGATAATTTTTTCCTGAATCATCGTTGGAATTTATTCGCATCAATCTAAAGTATAAAATACCCAGTAAACGAGAATGGATTGAAATGAATTGAAATGGATTCAGATTTTCAGAAATATTGATTCACAAATGTTAAAATGAATGCTTTTCAATCCTGAATGCATTTTTATTCATTTATAGGAATTGCATGCATATCTCTGCCTTTCAATCTAAAAATAATATTAGCTTTTTCTGTGCAAAACACATACATTGTGAATACTGTCCACAATTTCAAATTTTTGAATAGGAAACAGTTTTTCAATCCAATTGCATCCAATTGAATCCAATTGAATCCAATTAAATCCAAAAAAAATATTTCGCTATTTTTTTAAAATACGCATTCGGATAGAAAAAAATTTCAATCCATTTTAATCCATTCTCCTTTGCTGGGTACAGCACGTGTTCGGAAGTCGTTCCAAATAACGAGTTCGTGCCAGTGTGAGCTTCGTGATTAGATGAAGAACTATTTATTGCAGACCATTTATTTGTTTTAGAAGAATAATTGAAGCTCAGAAATGTTGAAGGTACGATCATCATTCAAAAACAACACGCTTTCGTACTTTTATTTTTATTATAGCAATTTAAAAAAGTTGTTTTATATCTCTGATAGACTGCAGTATTTTTATTGTGTTACTAGATAGCGATCACGTAACTTTTTTCCTAATGGAAACATGAAAAGTAAAATTTTTTTGTATAAATGCCATTGTTAAATCCATTGTTTTCCTTTTTTTTCTTTACATTTCCGTTTTTTTTACAAATAATATAAAAAATTACTTTTTTATTGATGTATATTGTAGTACTGTTGGCCAACTTTGATTCAGCGATGTCGACCAATCTCGACCAATCTCGACTTACCGATTATCCTTCAAACTCGCTTCCGATTCTCCAATTACATACTTCTCCAATTACTGATTCATTGTATAATTGTATAATAATACAAATAATATCAAAACTGATAATATGATATTAAATTTGATTGATAGGTTTCGATTTGTATCTGTTCAACCAGTCTAAGCTATTTTGTATTTTTGGTTACGTAATTCCATTTCTGGATTACCAGTTTATAGAGGCGCCACATCTGTTGGCAATATTTTATAAGAGAGGAGTTGGACTATCTTAGTACCAATTCTATTTGATTATATCATGACTTCCGTCTTCCACCATGCAGGTTAGAATAGAAAATCTGTCACATTGATAGAAGGGTATGAAAACATAAAAACATGAAGGCTAGAATAAGTATTTTCTGCTTTAATTATACAAATTCTTTACTTTAAAAACAAATTTTCTGCTTTAAAAATACATATTCTTTGCTTTATAAACACAAATTCTCTGCTTTAAAAATAAATTCTTTACTGTAGAAAAAAAATTATGTAGAAAATAATTTGTGTTTTTAAAGCTGAAAATTTATATTTTTAAAGTAGAAAATTTGTGTAACTCTTTGCCATCGATGTGTGTTTACAGATTTCCTAACCTGAATATCTGTAAACTTTAACAATTAATATCTCAGGGATAGAGCGACACAGGGATAGAGACACTTTTTTGCCAGATTCGTTCATTTCGCAAAAACCCAAACCTTAATGTTATTAATTTTTGTGGTATTGTAGCTAAACTGTGTAATTATGTTTTTTTATTCTTACACTAGATTGCACTAAAACGTCTAAACTCTTTTGCTTTTGCCAAATATCAACCATACAACTATCTCACTTTAAGTTCTAAAAGTGTACATTGGTTCTCAGTCACAAAAACAGACCCAATGAGTGATAGTGATGATGATCATCCGCGACTAAGCTCGAGTACGCTTGCCGCATTAGAGGAATTCTTGAAGGAGAAAGAAGAGCGAGAGAATTTATTGAAGCTGATATCCAAGGAAGATCAAGTACCAGATACTCCTTTCGATGAGAATTGGGTAAATAAATGATAAAATAATATGATAGATTTTTTAATTCTAGAAATCATTTCAGAAATTGATGCATAATCAATATTACAGCAATTGAGTCAATTTTGGTATAATGACGACACAATAAAGGCTTTTGTCAATGGTGTTCTAAATTCTACACCAGCAAATGGAAAGATCGCTCTAGTTTCTTGTCCAACTCTTTATAGCAAATTAAAGAAGGAGTGTGGTAAACGGCAAAGTATGACTAATATTTACATCCTGAATATATGGAATATTTAATATTAACTTAAGTAGATTGGAAAATAACATGTTACTTATATAATACTGTTACCATTACATCTTTTGAGTTGTTACTTTTTTGTCTGTAAGTTTGGATCTACAATAGGTGCATCCAAAAGCACGACCACTCACGGAGCACTTAATGAGCTCTTGTACCTGTTTGGTCTATATTTTTAGATTTAATGGAATATGCTAATCAGATGCAAGAGCTCACTTAGTGCTCAGTGAGCTTGTGGATGCATCCAATAGGTGTTTTAAGTCTTAAGCCATAAGAAATTGATCAATTACAGTCGAATGCCAGGAGAATAATTGATTATGATTTGTCAATTTTTGCATACAAATCTTTTATAGCAATTGCCTCCGAAAAAATTTAATTTTCCTGAACTATAAGCATCAAGATCCAGTGTCCTATAAAAGACACTTTTTATTTATTTATGTTAGTCACATATTGATTTAAGTTTTACTTATTATATTTGATGATTATTATATTTAATATTAATTAGTGTAATTTTAAAATCTAAAATCCTTAGTATTACAAAAACATAACAAAGAAAGTAATTTTATTATTAAAATACGAAGCGCTATTACAGTCTGAGTGTTGAGATGTTGAACTAATATATAATTCATATAAATGAATTAATTTCACAGAAATGATAATTACGTGCCGATATAGTTGTCGGACTTTCAACGCAATCAATCTGAAATATTAATAATCCCCTCAAATTTTCAAGAAAGTAATTGTTTTCTAAGTATTATAATACATTACTTTTTAAAATTAATCATAGTACATTACTTTTACAAAAAAATGGTAACAATAACATGGTAATACATGTGAATGATATAGTAACATTTCTTCTATTAAACAAAGAGTTCACTTGGCACTACAAATGCTTCGAAGCTTTTGATTGACCAATCAGAAGAAAGAATTTTATTATTCGACCAATTAAAAAATACTGCGAAACATTTATAGCATCAAGTGAACTATAGTCAAAAAGTAAGATTAAGTTTAAGATCATAATGTAAATGCATAATCAAGAAATGAAACTTTATATGATCTGAAATCTTGGGAGTACGGAATTTGGGACATCCGGGTTCAAATCTCGGTTGAAGTAATTTTTTTAGCAATAAAATTATTTACGGTTTCAAGTTTATTAACGTTTATTAATTTGTAATATTACTACTCTAATTTCGTCTTGATTAAATTTCCAAGACTGAAAATTAAATTCGACGTACAGTTTGCAGAATTGAATGTGTATATAAAATTTACATCAATTTTTTTAAGATGAAAATTTAACTCATGTATAAAGTTTTCATCTCTTAGTTTCTAACTCTATTTATAAATATATTATTTTAATTGCAGTCACGCTGTTTGAATATGACAGTCGTTTCAAGATATTTGGTACAGATTTTATACACTATGATTACAAGTTTCCTCTGGATATACCTCGGCATATGTCTAGTCAGTACGATTTAGTTATAGCCGATCCACCTTTTCTTTCAGAGGAATGTCTAACTAAGACTGCAGTGACAATAAAGTTTTTGACCAAGAAAAATATTGTTCTCTGCACAGGTGTGAATGAAATTATTTTTCTGTCATAAATTTTTGTTGTACAAATTATTTACGCATTTATATAAATAAAACTATCGTTTTATATGCATATATGCAGGTGCTATTATGACAGAGCTGGCAGAGAGGCTGTTGGACGTTAGAAAATGTGATTTTCTTCCAGGTCATAAAAATAATTTGGCGAATGAATTTTATTGTTATTCAAATTTTAATTTTGACACAATTCTGAAATGATAAACATTATTAGTATTAGAAACAATATTGAATAAAGATATATATTTGTAATAAATATATTAAATATTGAATCTTTATATTTACTTAAGAACAGAGAGAGATATGATTTTTAGAGATAACTCCTTAAATAAATCTATAAATTCTACAAAACTGTTGTTTTATACGAGAAATCCTATTAGCTCGACATTCTGATAGCATTACTTTAATTATTGGCCCTACCCATAATAGAAAGGATAACATGATGTACTCAGTTTGTAAGCGTCTCTCTCTAAAACCCAATGTCCACGATGTTAGAAATCGGTTCGAGATCTCGGACAGAGAAAAAAATTAACAAATCACATTTGAACAATTTGATCACATGATCACTATCGCGATTGGTCAATTTTTTCTTCATCCGAGATCTCGGACCGATTTCTAGCATCGTGGACACAAGGCTTAAGGGTGCCGGCACAGTATAAGTACATACAGTATGTACACTGAGCGTCGGCTTTGATGTAATGGGTCTCAGGTCATGACTCGCCGCCATGTTGTAGGTTGGAAAGGCGCTTATAAATTTGAATTTTTATAAAGCTACAGAATGATTTTTCTAAAAAAAAAGACATAATTCGGTCGTGTCATAAAAATTGTTTATAACAAGTATATTTTTAAATCAGAATTATATAATATAATGTTAATGAACTCATTATATAAAAATAATATTCACATTAATAATAATAATATTATAATATTAAACAGTATATTAAACAGTAATAAGTAAATTAAAAATAATAATTGATTAAATACTATATGAAAATTATAATTGAATAATTATGCACGAAAAAATAACATATTGCATGAAAATTGTAATTAAATGTGAAGTTGTAATTTAATAATATATGTACACACACGCACGCACATGCATACTTATTACGAGAATACTTTAGCGTATACAAATATAAGAATATAGCGTCTACGAAAAATTTGATTTAATTTTTTAATAAAACTTAATTTTATTAATCTTTTGTCATACTTTTCTCTTACGAATTAAAAAGAAAAAATAAACTTTGTACGACCTAGCAAACGAGAATGGATTAAAATGGATTTAAATTTTTTTCGAATGCATATTTTAAATATATAGCGAATACTTTTTTTTTAATTTAATTGGATTCAGTTGGATTCAATTAGATTTAGTTGGATTCAATTAGATTTAGTTGGATTAGATTCAATTGGATACAATTAGATTGAAAAACTGCATTTTCTATTCAAAATTTCGAATTGAACAGTATTCACAATGTATGTGTTGTGCACAGAAAAAGCTAATATTCTTTTTAAATTGAAAGTTATAGAGATATGCTCCATGCAATTCCTATAAATGAATAAAAATTCATTCAGGATTAAAAAGCATTTATTTTAAAATTCATCAATCAATATTTCTGAAATCTGAATCCATTTCAATTCATTTCAATCTATTCTCATTTGCTGGGGAACGACGTACTACGGCTCTCATCCGTGATACTCATGTTTGGCTCGATTTCCTTACCACGAGTCTCACACAATATTGTAGGTGAAATGGTTAATTATATTTTATGGGAAGAAGATCCAGCTAACATAACCTAATCTGCAATTTCAACTTGCTGAAGGCAGCACATTCCTGTTTGGAAATCGACGCACTAAAAATTGGGACCACATAAAAAGTTCAGTGTCCGTACTGTATGTATTTATATTGTGACAAGAAGTCGATTGTGTATCTTGAAATAAGGTGAAAATTACAAAAATGAGCAATGATTACTAGATATTAATCAATTAAATTATGAATATTCTAATAAATTTGTTCACTTTTGTAATTTTCATTCCAAGATACACAATCGAGTCCTAGTTGAGTGAGTACTCATTACTATTAGTATATTCTTTTGGATCATCCAATCAGCATTTTAGATAGGAGAATACATCAATAGCAGTTTACTCAACTGAGTCCACTGAACGCAGCTATTGAAACCAGGAAGTCGATTCTGTATCTTCAATCAAGATGAAAATTACAAAAGTGAGCGAATTAACTAGAATATTGATAATTTATTGGTTAATTAATTGGACAACACCTAGTAAATTTGCTCAATTTTGTAATTTTCACCTCGTTTGAAGATATAGAATCGATCCCCTTAAGCATCATGCGACTTTAAAATTGAAGCATCGGATTGGCTGAAGCAACAAACTTGTGACTTGCGACGCTACGATATAACCAATGTAGAATGGCTTTTATATTTTCCTAACAAGTGAAAAGTCCCCAGATCCGGAGGAATGAAGGATAGAAAAATCTCTAGGCAGTGTTGCTTTCGCGAAAAAAGTGTATGTACATACACGCGATGGAAAGCGTAAATATTTACTTCTCTTGAGTATTCGTTTCGGCGCATTTTTTTTTAATTTGTGTAATCATGATAGACGGAAACATCTCAATGGAGGAGGATACCGAATTACGGGACCTGGTGGTGCAGACTCTGGAGAGTAACGGCGTTCTTGCTAAGATACGGGTACGTCTTCAGATAGTTATGTCTTATGAGAAAAAAGAATATTCGTAAATCTATAGGTTAGGTGAATGTTTTCGGGGCAAAAATGGGTAGAAATTTCATTAAAAATCATTATTTGATGTTTCTCTCTTTTCTGTCTGCCTTATCGAACCTCTTTTGAAATATTCGCAGGCGGAACTCAGGGCGAGCGTGTTTCTGGCACTCGAAGAACAGGATTCGGTTATGGTAAGGGTCATTGAGGCATGCACAGCTGTAATTAGAACGGGAGCACAGAGTTTTGCATAATTCATAACGCATAATGCTTAAGAAAATGAATCAAAGTCTTTACTTTTTTCCACGAAATAAAAGATAATGATTGATTGATTTTCTTAACAATCTATGCTCTCTTAGGCACAGTATATTCACACAAACTTGTATAGCTGCATAAATGTATGCATAAAGAAAATTATTCAATCATTTTATGTGCGTCTTTATAAGAGAAATGCAATTGGATAATTTTCTTTATACATTTATGTGACATTTATGTCAAGTTTGTATGGATTTACTCTTAAGAATAAGATTTATACATGTCGTAAATTCATGTCATAAGTTATAATAAATTGATTATTCGCAATTGAATGTGATTGATTTTATTCTCTTTGTGTTTGACTGTGATTGACTTTGTGATTGATTAATTTCTTGCTTATGACATAAATTAACAGTATTTGGCATGTATAAATGATCCTCAAAAAGAAAGCAAAAGTCCATTAAACTCTTATAAGTTATATTGCTCACTTGTTTCAATGATACAATTAAAAAAAAAACAAGTTTTCTACAATAGAAAACGAATTCAGATGTTTTGAATTATTGTAATTTTGTAATATTAATGCTGAAATGTAATTGTGGTATAATGATTGAATGTAGAGGAATAAAAATATGTTCTTTTTTTTGGTTTCTATTCTTTTTCTGTAAATAACTCCAAAATGATAATTTTAAAGTTATGTTATTGTTGTAGTAAATGAGTGATTTGTATCTTTAGTCGAAGTTTATAAGAAAAGTTTAAAAGAAAAGAAAAATGCAGTGTGTAGCAAGAGAATGATTTAATAGATTTGGAATAAATGTTCCAGAATCCTGAACCACTTCTCAACAAAACTGTAAAACAGTACCTGTCTAATTCAGAAGGAAAATTATTGTTTTCCTTAGTTAGGGAGTTCCTAGAATACTTTGGTCTTGACTACACAATATCTGTGTATGACCCAGAAACATACTTTGGGAAGGAATACAACTATGTAGGAAGAAATAAATTGTGCGAAGAATTAGGTATTGTTTCAACTGAGCCATTGCTGGGAGAAATTCTCAAGAATAGCATCAACGGTGCCTTTAATAGTTCACAAAAGGTATTTTTTTGAGTTAAGTTGATTGTTGGGATAATTATGTAGTTGTAATTGTTAAAGACCGGCAGAAGTCTGTCAGAGATGAATTTCTCTTGTCCCAAATTACAGCTAAAATATTGAAAAAATCGCAATGCAATTGCAATATTCGTAATCAATAAAATTGCTGCAAGGCGTCTTATGTCCGCATTTCAGACATGTTGTCTGGGTAATTTCTTTTTTCTCTTTTTACAGATTTGAAAATCCTTTTCTAGAATTAAAATATACGCAATCAATATGTATTTATGAAATGGAGTTTATATTCATGTTTATACTTTTAGAACGGAAAAAAATTTTTAAATGAAGATCTTTACCATTATACTTTCCTGACAACACGCATGTTCAAAAACGAGACATAAGACGTCTTAAAAACGCTTAATCATCTTAAAGATATCTAAAAGACATGTCTTGATTTTGGACCTTTTGTTGTCTGGATTGAAATAGTCAAAACAGTTAATAATGTTTTCTTCAATTACCTTCGGGTAATTCAGTTTCTTTCGGAATAATCCATGCTAGCTCTCGTAAGAATATTGGTCTTTAAAGGGTTGTTTACAATGGAAGTAATATAATGTGGTTAATTGTAAAAAATCGACCAATCACAGATAAATGCGAGAAGACTATGATTGTTCAGTTTCTTACACAGCTTATTACACACTTCTACTGTAGATAGCTCTTAAGAGTATCTCATCAATGCTTCTTCATAAAGTTATATCTTATATAATTATAGTTGCAATGTAAGATGTTTCATCACTTGATTTTTCTTAGTTGCTAATACAAAAATGTATTACAGGAATAAATTATTTGATTTGAAGCACATTCTGATAAAGATATTTGCTTTAATAACTTTTATTCCTAACATTTCTTATATTTTTCTACATTTTTAAAAGCAAAGATATGTGAAATAATAAATTTTTATGAATCCTTTCTACAGAATAAAACTAGACACGATGTAACAAATGAAGACTCAACAAATTTCGCAAATGCAACGTTTGAAGTGTCTGTTCCCAAAATATTCCACAATGAATCCGTGTCGTCAAATGAAATATTAGAAAGCATTTCTGAACAGAGTCCGAAAGTTCCAATAAATGTG